TGTTTAGTCGATATCACCGCAATCAGTCGAGTGACAATCAAGGGGGATGGGCCGACTCACATGGGACGCACCCACCAATGGTTGTTCTCTTTCAAAATCGATCACTAAACGATCACTATTGGTGGACCAAGGCGGCGGAGGCGGGCTCGTACGCTCACACAGGCAGCGACCAATTGTCATGTTACAAGTAGGCTTCAGTTGGGTTTGCCAGTGTGGGTCAAAAGACACTTAGAAAGCCTTTCAACTTCGGTTGGGAGGTTGGGATCCGTGGCGCATCCCATAGAAGCAAACTGTCAGTTAAAACTTAAGTTAGTTATCAGTCAAGTTCATCGAACCATAAAATAAAATAGAGTCTGGCTGAAAGTCCCTTAACTCATGCGATCTTATGTGTACACTGATTGGATGCTTTTCAGGTTCTTATACGCCTGACAGTCGACGATAGCAACCGCCAAACATTTCTGGCACAGCTCGGCCAAATGGTTTTACCGTTTGCAAGCGATGCTCTCACATTGCTGGCACCGTATCTCATTCTCTGCTTCAGTTCAAAGCTGCGATATCTTGCATTTCATCCGTTTTCGTCAAATAATAGGACCACATTGGTTTCGCCTAAAAGCCCAGGAGAAGCCAGTCGAGCAACAATCGCTATGAAATAACAGAGCGATATTGAAATCAGGAATGCTTAAGCTGTGAAGGAACTCAAGTGGAGAAAAGAATTTTGAGGGAAATTAGCAGAGTTCCGTCTACGATTACCGAATTGTAAACCATGCGAATGAAAGTAGAGGATGTTTCAACATTTCCCTCGCATAAACTTTTGAGAACTAACTATGTACATGTATATATCTCAATTCAGATGTCCTTACAGTAAGTCTGGAACTCATTGAGAGGAGTGAGGCATCTCGAGCAGCAACCCTGCATCACCACCAGATAAACTTGAAAGGAACTTATGTGGGCAAAGTCAATTCCTACACTCTCCTTAGAAGACGGTCCTTGCTATGTGTGAGGTGGGACCTTCCGCAGCTGCAGTGGCGTGCCACTTTCTTCACTTCTAGTACACGGGAACGGGGCTGTAGAGTAGTGCTATCCGAATGCTGCTCCCGTACTCCGCCCGAATTATCCTCAAGGTGCAGCAATTGTGCTGTCATTAAGGTCCCGCAGCTCTACGGTATTACGTGGTAGTATTGCGGTTGCACACGCCATAATTTCCCCACGCGTAACCTTCTCCCTCCTGCTCACCCATTCTCTACCAGCAGTCTACTACCTTCCTTCTTCCCCATACTCCCTAGTCCTGGTCACTGGTGGACGCTGGCGGTCACTGGTGGACGCTGCCACGAAGGATGAATGCAGCCTTAGTAACCGATTGAAACCTCATGGTATATGTACAGCAGGCTTCTCATAATTGCTAATTGCACCGCCTTGAACAAAGCCTTGTAACACATAATTCAAATAATTTATTGTAGTCTCCGCAATGGACCGTGTTTCACATGAACCCATTGAATTTGATTCCATAATTTGCATCTAATTTATTTTTTTAGACATTTGCATGAAAAAAGCACCACAGACAAGTCACACATGAAAGTTGTTAACGTGTACGAGAGGCGAAAAAACCGTCAGTACAAGAGCTATCAAATGTTCTCGATGACTCCCGTCACTCTCTTCGGGTTGCGAATTTCCATTTCTCTAAGAGATCCCTGCAAATTACTAATTTTCAAATTGATTCAGTCAATGAAATTTTCGAAACCATCTTCTTCCCAAGATCAAGAGACTTTCAGAATGCCACTTTTGCAATAGGCCGTACACATGCTTCTCTGAAGCCCACAGAGGTTAAACTCACAGAAAAGGGCTATAAAATGGGGAACTGCCCGCGCTTAGCTAGGAATCCAGAAACCAGAGAGAAAGTGCAAAGGAAGCCGGAAATGAAAGGGATATTGGCGAGGAAACATAAGCTTTATGAAAAAAAGCCTGAAAGGAAATGGATGAAGCAAAGGAAATACGAGAAGAAAACCATGGCAGTGTCTGGAAACACGGAAAACGGAATGTTCAAATTTGATACTTAATCTACTACCTCTCTTGGCTCGTATTCTCCCTCATAGCTTTTCTTGAAGGAGTTCCGTTGTAAGAGCACAAAGAAGAACGGACTCTGTAGTTTTCTAACCCTGTTTATAGAGGCTTTAGTCCGTGGAGACACATCAAAGGCGGATGAAAACCAGAGAGATTCAAGAGACTGATAACTAACCAATTAGGATTTCCCGAAAGCGTTCAAATCTTGCTCATTGCAAAGTCTCTCGTAATGGCTATAGAAGTTAAGTATAAGTATAGGAGTAACTTACATTGTAAATTTGGATAGGATTGTGTGGAAATATGCCTTCTATTGCGTATGCAAGCATTGCAGATTGTATACCAACCCCGCACATTATGACCGTTGACCGATCCGATTTGAAACCGTGCACTTCGAGCTCAAAAACTCAGCGTTAGGAAGCAGAACTCATGAAGACAGTTAATGTGCTCTATAAAAAAGCTTTCCAATATCATTACGTTCGAAAAGCCGAGTTTTTTTCAATGAATTCATTCAATGCGGCATTTTGAGAATGAAATCTTTTTGTTCTGCGCCAACGGAACCTTCGGCAAGAATCGCTGGAAATTCAGTAGGACGATGCGCAAGGCCAGAGGTACAGTCGATTCAGGAAGGGAGCCACCAATGATGGAAACGCCGCAGGTACGAGCCGCTGATTGCGACCAGACTATTGCGGTGATGTAAAGCGTATATCACAAGAGAGTCGGAATTCGTGGCGCAAGTGGGTGTCGACGTCGCCCTGCTAATGACGACGATTTTAGGTGGTATTGGTATAGAATAGACTATGTATGATCAAACAAGCCATAATGGTCTATCATGTCCTTGTCCATATGAAATCCGATGCTCCAATCAAAAGGATAGCGCAAATCAGGAAGCCTATTGCCGCGTGCGACGAAGCGCCATTGACAATTCTCTTGCCCGTCTTCAAGGGCCGGGTATGTGACAAGAGCAGCGGAATATGCCGCGCTGGCAGGTACCCAACGACTTGTTGTCTTGCCTAGGCTGTTTGACTTTTCATGGAGTCTTTGTACCTGCTCGAACTCATGTGGGTTATGATGGTCCAATTAACAGTGAATGCACAGCGGAAGTTCACCGAGCGAGGCCGTGCATGCGCAACGCACGACGACACGACAAACTATGATTGTCCTGCCTGCAGGGTACAGCATCGTGTGGTCAAACCCATGGGGGGGGTCGTACCTGGCCGATGGGGAGGGGGGGGTCGTAATCTCAAGGGTCACTCAGAGCCGAGCAATGGTTCGACATTTCAGTTGATAGTGGGAGTGGAGCTATGGAAGTCAAGATGTTTAAAAAATGAAGTTTATTATGAGTGTATTCTTTACAGCTTTAAATGCTACGTTTAACAGCCCTCTTTTCATGGGAAATCCCCAAGAATGGGTTCGTACTTGGCCGCGGGGGACGTGGGGAGTATCGCAAAAGTAGGCTCGCTAGGCATCAAACAGTACAAAGGTGTCATTGCTAAGGGTAATGGAACGGACGGAAAGCTTCAGAAGACCCGGATGTAAATAGGAATACAAAATAATAAAAGATTTATTAGCAATATAGCAAGAATAAATAAATAAATAAATAAATAAACGGGTGTCAATTTATAGCATGAGCTCGTAAGTACGTAGATGACTAAAGAATACGTCTCAAACAGATTCGTGTGTATTGTCCTTTCCAAACCCTTAACAAACTCTGCCTGCATTTATAAAAGCACTTACAGATTTACACCTTTACAACCACCTCTGCGTAGGAGCGTAATGCACGGCGCACACTCGGACCAAATCGATCAGTGATAGCCGAGCTCCTCTTTCACTCATTTGAAGGGAAATATGTGTTTTGAAGGCACACTGAAGTTTCCGAAGGTGTATCCTCACAATGGCACATAAGGAGTCAATTTTTCGGGTGGGTCAGAGGGTAGCGCATCTGTGACCCATCTAAAATAAAAAAATATCATTTTTATCTCTGAAACTAGTGGGTCTTCAGAAAAACTGTAAAGCTTATTGGAAAGAGAAAAGATGGAGGGGTTTCAAGACGACTTCAGTCCTGATGAAATTGCGTTTGAACGAAGCAGTCCTTGTGTGAATCATGGAAACCAGCTCGCGATTTACCCCTGGCCGAACCGTGACCCATCCGGAATATTTCACCAACGGGGATTGTTCAGTTTGCAGCTAGGTAGAATACACAATAGTAGAAACTTTGCCGTTGCATGCTGCTCACCATTCCTCAAAAGCTCCGCACCTAAAAAAGATATAACCCCCCGAACAGACCCCAGGACGTTGGCAAGTCCAACAACCGCGCTCCAATGACGTTTTTCCAAAGAAAGCGGTCGCAGCCTTGCGCCCTGCAGCCTATTCAGCCTATCAATGATCACCATTAGCCGCTATTTCAATTGTGTTCCTTGTTACAAGTTGCATGTCATACATAGTTATCGAACGAGGAGTTTTATTTTGAATCCTAAGACAAAATTGTAGGTAATGCGAGGCTGTTGTTCAGCCTCATATTGCATGAGGCTGAAACAGCCTTTTATTTCCTGTATTTTAGAGCAGAGTGCGCCTTTCGAGAATCCAGATTCCATTTCAGGAAGCCATTTGTGGTGAACATGCATCTGGTTGTCAGTTAGAGCAGGAGGGGGGGGTCGTATCTGGACCCTCTTCGAGGGGGGGGTCGTACCCACACCGCCATTTCGCACATCCCCATGCTGTACCCTGCCTGCCTGTCTCCCGGCCGGTTTGAGCAAAAACTCTAATACTAACGTCACAGTAATCATTGATTCCGGAATATTTGTAGAACAGCAACGAGGTCCCCGCAACTTGAAACCTTCGCACTGCTTTTTGTGGGGCGTATTAGACTTGAAAGTTTGTCCTGAGCGTTATAGAAGTATCAGGGAGTTGAAGAAAGCTATTCCGGAAACTTGCAGCAAGCTCGATTATGCTTTACACAACCCGAGCAACGCGTTTTCCGAAGAAGTTCGCTCCTTTCTAAGCGCAGTCCACTCATTGTCAGTGAAGAAAGACTTTTTCCAGTTTACTACGTTCAAATGAGAAAACTTCTTTATCTTGTTACCGCATTTTTTGGCTACACCTGTAGGCTTGAACTTAATTAACTCACAGCTGCGGATTTCGTCGTTGTCTCGCATTAGGCCCTCCTCGACCAACTCCGCTGCTGGGAAGTTTTTGAAACCAGGAATATGCGTACCTCTCACGCCTAAGTGAATTGCGTTTGCATTTAATTCGAAAATAAAAAGTCCTTGAAGTTCACTAATTAGTAGCATAGCACTTCACCAACTAACCTGGTGGGGGAGTGGAGGGAACAGTGCCTTCAAAATTACCGCGACCTCGAGCATCGAGCAGGTTTATCTGCAAAGAACTCTTCTCATTCCCAACGATTGATTTCATAGGCAGTTACTGGTATGACCCGCCACCTTATTTTGATTTCATAAGGCAGTACTAGGTATGACGCCACCTCACATCATCCGTCCACTCGATGTATTTCCTATCCCCATGTTGTTCTTCCAGCTGTTCGAATTTGATGTTGCACTTGGCCACGTTATCGGTCGCCTTCCACGTTCCACGCTGAATACACAAGGCCATGACG